AATACATTTAAAAAAAAAAAAAAGGAACTACCACAAGTCTTTCCATCTTCCACACCAACATCCTTAAATGCGTCTCTCGACACTTCATCAACAGCTTTCTGACCAACGATTCATTGTAATTCCATGCCCCAATAGGTTCTTTTGATGCGTCCTCCGATTAAGAGATTTTGTATTGTAGTTTGCACACTCAACGTCGTTCACATTTTCATTCTCTGTAGAAACTGATCTTCTCAATCTTTTCCCACCTGAGTTTTTTGATACCTTCTCATTTCGAGGCATGATTTTTTCCTTGAGATCATTCTCGCTTGCATAATCTATTTTAGGTTTCAAGCGAATGGCAGATGATTTGAACATGAATAATCTTTGATCCTGAAAATTTCCATCTTTACTCAATGGAGACACGAATTCCTCAATGTCATCAAGATATCATATCTTCTGGTAGTCGAACTGAAGTTTCTTAAGACGATTCGTCCGCCATGCCTCCAGCATTAGTTTCACCAATAAACTTTGAAACAGTAAATTTAACCATATCATTAAGCTGTAGACTTGAATTGAATGCACTTTTTGGAAGTGTTTGCTTCTCGGACAACAGATCAATGTATACAATCTTTCTTTCTGTCTCTTCAATGATAGAAACCGGCATTTCAAGGTCATCACTACTCGAAATCTTATTGCCGATAGTTTTGGTTACCTGCAGTTTTGTAAGATATAAATCCCTAATATCAAACTAAAAGTTCCTATTATCATAGTACAGTAGATGAACAACAAATTACCGATTCTTCCTTCAACTCGGGTATGTACTCAATCAACAGCAACCCTCAATCAACGCAAGTCCTACCAATTTCATCTAACAATTTGAACTTCACTTCATCTGGCACATTTAGTATGGGAAGACTTTCCCTGATCTGCATTTAAATAAGTCGATAAATTTGAATAGTTAGTTATTTCTATAAATAAACCACATTGATTTGAGTAGACAACCTGAATGTTCACAAGATTTCCTGGGAGTGATTCAAGCGCTGCCGTTGTGAAACTCTGACCATAGCGCTCTCCAAAGAGTTTCCTAATGGACCGAAGTTCCGGCAAATCCCCAAATCTTGCTGATGCAAAAATCTGAGTCGACAATGCTTCGTTAATATCATCTGGACAGTCCCTACAATGTAACAAAAAACCATCGACTTCGTCATAAAAAGGACTATTGACAAAAGGATGCAGTTGAATTCATATAGCAAGACATACTTTTGTTTGCAGATGTAGCGAAGATATTGATTATATATTCACAAAAATTCTCAATCAGATCATATACTTCCACCATAGTTTCATCTCTGAATAGCTGCTCTACCTGAAAATTCATTGCAATATATGAGTCGAAACTAGAAAACAAGTCTTATGGAAAATCTTACATCTGAAAATGGCAATATTTAAGGTAGCAAATCACTTCTAAGCATATAACAGTTTCGATTTCTACAAAAATGATATTTACTACTTCCATTTACAGCTAAAAGATCATTTCAAGTTCTTGCTTAGGTACTCGATTTCTTTATCCTTGTTTTAATTGGATTATGGTGGCTTCTGCCCCCTTCCTGATATAGCTAATGAGCTCATATAAGCAGAAGATTCAATTTCTTAGGGGAGGACTGTTAAAATTGATTGAGAACAATAAGTTTGTTTTGTACAACAAGGCAGACTCAATCACAAGTTCACAATTGCCTTCCTAAATCACATTAGATAAGAAAGTTCTCAATCACAAATTCACAATTGCCCAGAATGCTAAATCCCTAAATAAAGCTTCTCAAATCTGAAATCACAATTGAAAAGTAACGAAAGCTGGATTGGCCTAAATCCCTAAAAGCCCTAATTAGAATGGAAGTAATTCTAGAATAATAATTTCCATTATTACATAAACATTTCACCCAAACACACAATCTCTCCAACATCAAAACACCAACTTCTCTAACATCAAAATCCCTAAAAGCAGTGTTGAGTGCCGGAACTTACCTCTTCACGACGTTGGTCTTTTGATGGAACGGTGGAGGCAGTGCACGGAGCCGCGGAGCGTGGCTGCGGGAGAGACAGAGACTGGTACCGTGAGTGGGTGTGGCCGTGTGCGGTGTGGGAGAGAGGACAGGATCACGGGGGGAGAGTGGTGCGCAGGGGTTCAGAGTCGGGAGAGAGGAATTGGAGGAGAAACGAGGTGAGGGTAGGGTTTGAGTTTCACTTTTTCATTTTATATTTAAAATAAAAATAAAAAGTAACGGCAACGTTCAAAAGCACGTTGCTAAAACTATTAATGGCAACATACAATCAACGTGCATTGCTAAAACTATTAATAACAACGTGCAGTGAACGTTGCAAAAAGGTTAATGGCAACGTTCAAATGTACGTTGCTAAAACCATTAATGGCAACGTGAACAGAACGTGCATTGCTAAAACTATTAATTGCAATGTGCAATGAACGTTGCCAAAAGGTTAATGGCAACGTTCAAATGCACATTGCTAAAACCAATATACGGCAACGCGCATTGCTCGTTGCAAAATGGACCGCGAACGTTGCAAAAGGATGTACTAGCAACATTCATTAAAAAAACGTTG